CTTGGGTGGGAAAACACCTTTCCATACTCTGTATCCTTCAAAGCCTATGTTCCATGTTGACCCGCGTATATTTGGCTGCGTGTGCTTTGTTCAAGATATCTGTCCCCATGTCACCAAGTTAGATCCCAAGTCTTTGAAGTGTGTGTTTCTTGGATATTCCCGTGTGCAGAAAGGGTATCGGTGTTACTCTCCTGAGCTTGGTAGGTACCTTGTTTCCATTGATGTTGCCTTTCATGAGGACGTCCCTTTCTTTCCTTCATCCCCAGATGCTGTTCGTAAGGGGGAGGGGGATGATATATTGATGTATACGGTAACGTCGTCTGTTCCTTCCCCTGTTCCTACCCCTCCTGTCTTGCAAGTGTATTCTCGTCGACCTCGACCTGACACACTCGTACCGGCACCGCCTCCCATTCCAGACTCGGTACAGACTCCGTGCCCTGACACCACCTCTATGTCATCAGATCCAGTCTTAATTGATGACCGTCCGATTGCCACCCGGAAAGGTAAACGTACCTGTACTTATCCTATATCCTCTGTTGCATCATATGATAGGCTGTCACATGCCTCGTGTTCTTTTATTGCTTCCCTTGAGTCTATTTCCATTCCTAAGACTGTTAGGGATGCCTTGTCCCATCCTGGGTGGCAAAATGCCCTGATTGAGGAGATGAACGCTTTGGATCACAATGGTACTTGGGAGTTGGTCACTATGCCTGCGGGTAAAAGATCTATTGGTTGTAAATGGGTGTTCGCTGTCAAAGTTAATTCTGATGGGTCTGTGGCTCGATTGAAGGCTCGTATTGTGGCTAAGGGATATGCCCAAACTTATGGAGTTGATTATTCTGACACTTTTTCTCCTGTGGCTAAGCTTACTTCTGTCAGGTTACTCATCTCAATGGCTGCCATTCATGATTGGCCTTTGCATCAGCTTGATATCAAGAACGCCTTTTTGCATGGGGATCTTCATGAAGAGGTGTACATGGAGCAACCTCCTGGGTTTGTTGCTCAGGGGGAGTCTGGGAAAGTATGTCGTCTTCGGCGATCGTTGTACGGGCTGAAACAAATTCCACGTGCATGGTTTGGAAAATTTAGTCAAGTTGTTGAGAAGTTTGGGATGGTGAAAGGCAAATCGGATCATTCCATGTTCTACAAGTGGTCCAAAACAGGTATCATCTGGTTGGTGGTTTACGTAGATGACATTGTCATTACAGGGAGCGACACCGAAGGGATTTTGTCTCTCAAGTCATTTCTTCACAGTCAATTCCAAACGAAAGATTTGGGACCACTAGAGTATTTCCTGGGTATTGAAGTTATGAGGAACAAAACAGGTATATTACTCTCCCAATGAAAATATGTTATTGACTTACTCTCTGAAACAGGAAAACTAGGTACTAAACCATGCAATACTCCTATGATACCGAACTTGCAATTGTCAAAGGAAGGGGAATTGTTTGAAAATCCTGAGAGGTATAGGAGATTGGTTGGGAAGCTAAACAACTTGACCGTAACCCGTCCAGATATTGCATACCCAGTTAGCATTTTGAGTCAGTACATGTCATCTCCAATTGATCACTGGGCAGCTGTAGAGCACATCTTGAGTTACTTAAAGGGAGCTCCGGGACACGGAATTTTGTATAAGAATCACGGTCACACTCGGATTGAGTGTTTTACTGATGCGGATTGGGCAGGTTCCAAAGAGGATCGTAGATCAACAACTGGATATTGTGTTTTCTTTGGAGGTAATCTGGTTTCCTGGAAGAGTAAGAAGCAGAATGTAGTCTCTCGTTCGAGTGCAGAGTCTGAATATAGAGCGATGGCACAATCAACGAGTGAAGTAATGTGGATACACAACCTTTTGTATGAGTCTGGTTTCAAAGCTCCAATTCCTGCAAAGTTATGGTGTGATAACCAAGCTGCTCTTCATATTGCATCAAACCCGGTGTTCCATGAACGAACTAAGCACATAGAGATTGACTGTCATTTTGTACGTGAGAAGATACAACAAGGGTTAATCTCCACAGGATTTGTGAAGACAGGAGAACAACTTGGGGACTTATTCATGAAGGCCCTTACTGAAACCCGAGTCAGTTATTTGTGTAACAAGTTGGGCATGATCAATGTCTTTGCTCCAACTTGAGGGGGAGTGTTATAGAATATTCTGTGTGATTGAGTATCCTATATTTTAGGAAACTAGAATATTAGCATACCATATCATTCTAGATCAAGCTAGTATTTAAGGGGAGGTTGACTAACCCTAAAGACATACAGAAAGAGGGAGAACTCTCAAGCGGTATTCTTTTTCTCTCCCAGTACTGTAACACCGAGTATGCTCGCACACGTAAGCGATATGTATTCGTCGTCTGTGCAATTACAGCAGCAAGTGGGTGCATGTTACTGAATCATGGTTGCAATTGGTAAAGGAGTTTGAATTGCACATTGACATGCGTGCGCACACTCGGGGAAGGTGTGTGCGTTCTCGGTGTCAGGTGTATGCGTTATGGTCAAGAGCATGTGCATAAGCAGGTAAGTGAGTGTGTATTTCAAAGAGGAAAGGAAAGTAATGAGCATGTGTGTACAATCAAGGTATAAGATGTGTGTGTTATGCCGCAATATACCCAAGAACAACTTAATAGAAATGAACATAACAAACAAATAATGTAAAATAAAGGCTGAGTGAAAAGTATGTATTATGTTTTAGTTTAAAGAAATTCAGAATTCAACATTAAAAAATAAATAGAATATGTCATAAACAACTCTAAAAAAATGTAGACAAAAATACTCTTTATCTTTAGCCAATAGTAAGTCCAAAATCCACCACACAATTGACATTCGATAGCCGATGTATTATGTGCATTCAGATGTGTAGCAAACGCATATACTTCATTCCTGACTAGCATCCACCTTAATTCACACAAACCTGAAAGAAAAACGCTTCAGGTCAAAGCATTCAAACATAACATATACATTCACCAGAATCTACCTTCCACTTTTCCATTTTGTATATAAAATGAACTGTTTTATAAAACCATCTATTTAACTTTCACAACTAACAAAAGAAAGAGCCAACTCAAAATTGGAACAAGATTAAGAGAACCAACATGACATGGATGAGCATTATAGATGCTGACTAAACATTTTAACCAATATACACAACACAAACAGGAAGCTATGGAAAGGCATACAGAGAAGAAAAAGAATAGAAAAAAATAGAGAAGACTAAAAAATGATAATAAAGAAAAAGATACATAGGAAGTATATTCTTCAAAAAGTGATTGCAGCATCCAAACATATTAGCCTAACATATCATAAGAGCCATTTGTTCACATGGAGCCACTATTAGAAATTTAATCAGCAGTCTAGAAGCAGTATTCATATATTGGTTGTATAGTAATATTGTATAGCCTATAAAAGTTTAAAGTGGGTTCTTAAACATTTAAATTTGTGCATGACTACCAATTTTAGGTCCCACGACATTCCTGAAGAAGACAAAATGCTTATCAAGAACCCAAGATGAGGAGGGTTCTGGAGCTGGCTCTAATAGGGTAAAGAAATTTCAGAATTCTAGTAGTGCATTCTGAACGCACACACCTAGATATGCAAAACGTGTTTGAATAAATGCACAAAAAATCAACACCGCCCACCCCACCGTAGATGCCGGCTACCCCCACAACCCGTCGTCGGAACTGGAAATGGGTTGTACTGCACTAAACTCGGGCCACCACCGACCACTGCCAACGCACCCAGCCCTCCCGAACAGCTACTCACCATCCCCGCCGCTCCAAGATCGCCGGACTACCACCTACCGCCACCCATGCTCTCTGACGCTTGGAACGATTGCTTGCAGAACCCACCAATAGACGGCAGTCACAGACCGGCACCGGACACGGATTAACGAGCGTCACCGATCGGAGAAGAAAAGGACGGACAAGAGGCACACGAACCTTGCTATCGTGAATACCGGAGAAGAGAGAAAGAGAAATAAAATGACGGAAGCTAAAGAGACCGGAATAAATACTGATAGTGATTTACGACCATAAATATCTTCGCACAGACCCACAAAATTGGCCAATCGAATCTTTATTCCATAATAACAATATAAACAAAAGACAAACATGCCCCCTAACTCTAATAAAAACGCAGCGCGTGGCTTATTCACAGTGCAAATCTGAACCGTTGAATAATATCAGTAAACGAACAAGATCGAGCCTCACGACCTCACCAAACAATAGTGACCTCACCGGATCCAAAATATATATATATATATATATATATATATATATGTATATATATATATATATATATGTATATATATATATATATATATATATATATATATATATATATATATATATATATATTGGTTTTCAGAATGAAAGGATGATCACTCTTATAATGCAACACTAGTTTTTTACGCGCATTGCGCGATTGGGATAATGCTCAATGTTTTTTTTAAATAAGTACTTAGTATATTAAGGCAGGATTATATTGAAATTGTTCATGCATAGATAATTGAAGGTTGAATTTGCGTATTTAAATAGGTAATTCTTCTCCCAGAGGTTGAGTCTCCAACCCCAAGGGCCCCCCACACTCCGACCCGACAGAGCATTGTGGACAAGGAATCTGCCCACTTTGGACATAATTCCCGCACTGCCGCCGCCGAGGTTCAAAACCATTGAGCTAAGCCGGTGCGGGTTAAATAGGTAATTCTAAGTTTACAAATGCAAGATAATATAGTCAAGATTGATTATAATTGTCAATAAAATAATTGTATAGGTATGGTTGAAACCAAATACGGGACATAAGGGAGAACAAATAAAAATTAGGGCATAAAATATTAAATATATACTAATATTGTTTGAGGAGATTCCGACATTAGGATTTGTGGTTAAGTTCTATTAAGACTTTAATATTAGAATTAGATTAATGGTGTAGTTATAATTCTGTATTAGACTATAATATTAGAATTAGACTAACGGTGAATTATTCTATGGGCTAATTTGATCATGTTATGTGTGCGGACAGTCAGGTACAGGGTTCTGGTCAATGGGAAGCCGAGTGAGGAGATCTTGCCCACGAGGGGTCTAAGGCAGGGTGATCCCCTGTCACCCTACCTTTTTATCATCTGTGCGGAGGGCTTGTCTTTATTATTGCAGGATGCCCAGGCTAAAGGACGAATACATGGCTGCAGAGTGGCTCGTGGGGCCCCTCCCATCTCTCATCTCTTCTTTGCGGATGACAGCCTACTATTCTTCAAGGCAAATATGCAGGAAACTATGGTGGTGAAGCGTTGTTTGGAAACATACGAGCAGTTCTCGGGTCAATCGGTAAACTTCCATAAGTCTAATATCTCTTTTAGTCGTAATACCCTATTGTTGGACAGGGATGCTATTGCTATGAGTTTAGGGGTGGAGCAGGCGGAGGATTTTGGTAAATATTTGGGACTCCCCTCAGTTGTTGGTAGGAACAGGAAATTTGTTTTCTCCTCTGTGGAGCAGAAATTGAGGCAAAGGTTCGGTTCGTGGAATAAGAGGCTGCTTTCTATGGCAGGTAAAGAGATACTACTCAAGAGCGTGGCACAAGCTATGCCTACGTACACTATGAGTATTTTTCTGTTGCCTGTATCCTTGTGTGCTTCTTTGGAAAGATTGATGAATAGGTACTGGTGGGGAAAGAGTACTACAACGGATGGTATACATTGGATGAACTGGGATAGAATGTGCGTGCCCAAGAAGTATGGTGGTATGGGTTTTAAGAAGCTACATGAGTTTAACTTGGCACTTTTAGGGAAGCAGGGTTGGCGACTATTAACCAAGCCGGATTCCTTAATGGCCAGAATTTTTAAGGCAAGATACTATCGTGATACTACCTTTTATGAAGCTACCCTAGGTGGAAACCCGAGTTATGTATGGAGGAGCATTATGGCGAGTCAGAACCTGATTCATAGTGGCTGCAGGCGCAGAATTGGGGACGGTAGAACTTCTAAGGTATGGTTTCACCCGTGGTTGCCTGACTCCCAGAATCCGTTTATACTAACGGATCAGGTGGCCCAGCAGTCAGATCTTATGGTCGCTGATCTGTTGGATCTTGAGCAGGGGAAATGGAACCAGGATTTAATTGCTCAGTTGTTTGTTCCCAGGGACGTGGAATTAATTTCACAAATCCCTGTGAGCACTAATTTCAAGGATGACTGGTTTTGGAAATGGGACATTAGGGGACAATATTCAGTAAAAGATGGTTATAGGTGCCAAGGGGAGTTGACCAATCTCCCACAAGCAGTTTGGAACAACATTTGGAAGCTCAGGGTCCCCCCCCCCCCCTCCCAAGTGGAGGGTTTTTCTATGGAAAGCTCTGTCTAATATCTTGCCAACTATTACCAACTTGGTTAGAAGGAGGGTAGAAATTCCTAATATTTGTCCAGCTTGTGGAGACTATGAGGAGGATGTTATGCATATTTTATGCACTTGTATTTATGCTAGACGTGTGTGGAATGTTTCACGTCTTCTAATCCCTAATGTTGATAGTTGTGATTTTATGCAGTGGGTGGAGGCTTGGTTGGGTTGCTCAGCAACGTCTGCTGGGTTTCTAAAAGAACAAATTTGTGGAATACTCTACGAAATTTGGAGAGCCCGGAATATGGCTGTTTGGGACTCTTTTCTACCGACCCCCTCGCATCTTTGTCACGCTTTTCATGGATATTGGTCTGCCTACTCCACGTTTCACCCGCCGGCTGCGCCTTCCGCATCACCTGCGCCCGTACCCCCGGTTGTCCCCCAAGAACCGGCTGTCCACCCACTGCCGGCTGCTCATCTGCCTGCTACTGTACTGCCGGCAGTCTCGGAGTCCACGCTGTTGCCGCCTGGAGGAGTATTCTGCTTCACGGACGCTGGTTTCCCCGGAGCATCCCCGACTTATGGTTTTTATATATGTAACGCACACGGAGGGTTGGAGGCGGCTGCTAACGGACCACTTATATGTCCAAATGATCCCCTCCTAGCTGAAGCAATGGCAGTACGTGAGGCCCTTTCATGGCTACGGGACCATGACTTCCAGGATGTGGTGATTTTTACAGACTGCGCGGTCCTGGTTTCTTCCTTCCACGATGTGACTACCTATCGCTCGTATCTAGGAATTATTTTGGATTCATGTTTACAGTTGTTTCGTTCTTTTCATTCATGCTCCATTAAATTTGTGCGCAGAGATGCCAATACGGTAGCTCATGCTTTAGCAAAGCATATTAGTGCGCCTGACTCTCATTCTGTCTGGAGGGGCTTTCTTCCTTCCTTTGTTCTGGTTACAGTTTAATGCAATCTGATTTCCTTGGCTTTCAAAAAGACTAACGGTGAATTAACGGAAAAATTAAATGGATAATCATATAATTAAGGATAAATTAGAAAGTCTTAAAAACAAAAAGTTAAAACCTGAACAATATGAACCATTCATTTGATTTAATAATTTGGCGGTCATTTTTTCTACCCAATGTTAATAATTAAATAAATTCGCTGGTCAAATCCGCTAGTATAATCCGCTAACGCTAACCCCTAACTGCTGATTGTCAAACAAGGACATTGCGAGGTAGTTCTCACTTCAATTTGTTGTGTGATTTGAATACTCTTTTTGTCACGAAATCTCTCAAGTAGTTAATATGGTTGGCTTTATTAATTATATTTTTTTAATTTTTTCATGGTATAAATAAAATACTTGGTAAATAAATATATAGCATTATTTTGTATTATAACTTTGATATTTAATTAGAAAAATAGTGCAGAAAAAAGATAATAGATAATATAGTGAATATAATCAATTGATGAATTTGAATGTAAAAATTTTTACATTTGAGAAAAATAAAGACAATATAACTAATGAAAATATTTCTTTTAATTAATTTATTGATAATTAATAATTTATTTTTCACTGAATAAAGACATTGTAAGGATAATATATCGAATATAATCAATTAATAAATTTGAATATAAAAAATTTTTATATTGAAGAAAAATAAAGACAATATAACTAATAAAATTATTTCTCTTAGTTAATTTATTGATAATGAATTTTTTTTTTTTGAATAAAGGCATTGTGGACACATAATTATAAATTAAAGAAACGCATATGTATTATTTTTTGTTGTAACTACTAAATTATTATTTATATAATTTAATAAGAGTAAAATAGAGTACTAATTATGACAACTTTGATTGGGATGAGATTCGAACCTAAGACCTTTTAATATTGAAATCAACGAGTAAGTTAACGGTGAACTAACGGCAATTCTTAAAATTTTAACGGAATTAGTAACGGTGTGTGGGTATTTTAGGAAATTTTAGTGTAAAATTTAAATCTGATCAATCTTTCAATCAATCTGAGCCATTCATTTGATTAAAATCTGATACCGCCATTTTTTCTACCCATTATAGGCCTAACTCTCTTGGGCTCTTATTAGTATACTAGTTTTTTACGCGCATTGCGCGATTGAGATAATGCCCAATGTTTTTTTTTTTTTAAATAAGTACTTTAAAGTATATTAAGGCAAGATTATATTGAAATTGTTCATGCATAGATAATTGAAGGTTGAATTTGCATATTTAAATAGGTAATTCTTCTCCCAAAGGTTGAGTCCCCTATCCCAAGGGCCCCCCACACTCTGACCCGACAGAGCATTGTAGGAAGTTGTAAATCACGGTGACTCAATGGTTCAGCAGACAGGACCAAATGCCGGTGCGAACAAGGAATCTGCCCACTTTGGACATAATTCCCGCACTGCCGCCGCCGAGGTTCAAACCTTGGTTTCTTCTCCCAAATACTACCCACTAAACCATTGAGCTAAGCCCGTGCGGGTTAAATAGGTAATTCTAAGTTTACAAATGCAAGATAATATAGTCAAGATTGATTATAATTGTCAATAAAATAATTGTATAGTTATGGTTGAAACCAAATACGGGACATAAGGGAGAACAAATAAAAATTAGGGCATAAAATATTAAATATATACTAATATTGTTTGAGGAGATTTAGACATTACGATTTGTGGTTAAGTTCTATTAAGACTTTAATATTAGAATTAGATTAATGGTGTAATTATAATTCTATATTAGACGTTAATATTATAATTAGACTAACGGTGAATTAACGGTATTTAACGGAAAAGTTAAATGGATAATCATATAATTAAGGATAAATTAGAAAAATTTTAAAAAAAATTAAAACCTGAACAATTTGAACCATTCATTTGATTTAATAATTTGGCGGTAATTTTTTCTACCCAATGTTAATAATTAAATAAATTCGTTGGTCAAATCCGCTAATATAATCTGCACGCTAATTGCTGATTGTCAAACAAGGATATTGCAAGGTAGTTCTCACTTCAATTTGTTGTGTGATTTGAATACTCTCTTTGTCACAAAATCTCTCAAGTAGTTAATATGGTTGGCTTTATTAATTATATATATTTTTTAATTTTTTCATGGTATTAATAAAATACATGGTAAATAAATATATAGCATTATTTTGTATTATAACTTTGATATTTAATTAGAAAAATAGTGCACAAAAAAGATAATAGACAATGTAGTGAATATAATCAATTGATGAATTTGAATGTAAAAATTTTTACATTTGAGAAAAATAAAGACAATATAACTAATGAAAATATTTCTCTTAATTAATTTATTGATAATGAATAATTTTTTCTTCACTGAATTAAGACATTGTAAGGACAATGTAGCGAATATAATCAATTAATAAATTTGAATATAAAGAATTTTTATATTGTAGATAAATAAAGACAATATAACTAATACAATTATTTCTCTTATTTAATTTATTGATAATGAATAATTTTTTTTGAATAAAGGCATTGTGGACACGTAATTCTAAATTAAATAAATGCATATCTATAATTTTTTGTTGTAGCTATTAAATTATTATTTATATAATTTAATAAGTGTAAAATAGAGTACTAATTATGCCAACTTTGATTGGGATGAGGTTCGAACCTAAGACCTTTTTTTTTTATTATTGAAATCAATAAGTAAGTTAACGGTGAACTAACGGTAATTCTTAAACTTTTAACGGAATTAGTAACGGTGTGTGGGTATTTTCAGAAATTGTAGTGTAAAATTTAAATCTTATCAATCTTTTAATCAATCTGAGCCATTCATTTGATTAAAATCTGTGACCGCCATTTTTTCTACCCATTATAGGCCTAACTCTCTTGGGCTCTTATTAGTATACTAGTTTTTCACTCGCATTGCGCGATTGGGATAATGCCCAATGTTTTTTTTTTAAATAAGTACTTTAAAGTATATTAAGGCAAGATTATATTGAAATTGTTCATGCATAGATAATTGAAGGTTGAATTTGCGTATTTAAATAGGTAATTCTTCTCCCAAAGGTTGAGTCCCCAACCCCAAGGGCCCCCCACACTTTGACCCGACAGAGCATTGTGGAAAGTTGTAAATCACGGTGACTCAATGGTTCAGCAGACAGGACCAAATGTCGGTGCGAACAAGGAATCTGCCCACTTTGGGCATAATTCCCGCACTGCCGCCGCCGAGGTTCAAACCTTGGTCTCTTCTCCCAAATACTGCCCACTAAACCATTGAGCTAAGCCCGTGCGGGTTAAATATGTAATTCTAAGTTTACAAATGCAAGATAATATAGTCAAGATTGATTATAATTGTCAATAAAATAATTGTATAGGTATGATTGAAACCAAATACAGGACATAAGGGAGAACAACTAAAAATTAGGGCATAAAATATTAAATATATACTAATATTGTTTGAGGAGATTTCGACATTAGGATTTGTGGTTAAGTTCTATTAAGACTTTAATATTAGAATTGGATTAATAGTGTAATTATAATTCTATATTAGACGTTAATATTAGAATTAGACTAACGGTGAATTAACGGTATTTAACGGAAAAGTTAAATGGATAATCATATAATTAAGGATAAATTAGAAAAACTTTAAAAAAAAATTAAAACCTGAACAATTTGAATCATTCATTTGATTTAATAATTTGGCGGTCATTTTTTCTACCCAATATTAATAATTAAATAAATTCGTTGGTCATATCCGCTAATATAAGCCGCTAACTGCTGATTGTCAAACAAGGACATTGCAAGGTAGTTCTCACTTCAATTTGTTGTGTGATTTGAATACTCTCTTTGTCACAAAATCTCTCAAGTAGTTAATATGGTTGGCTTTATTAATTATATATATTTTTTAATTTTTTCATGGTATTAATAAAATACTTGGTAAATAAATATATTGCATTATTTTGTATTATAACTTTGATATTTAATTAGAAAAATAGTCCACAAAAAAGATAATAGACAATGTAGTGAATATAATCAATTGATGAATTTGAATGTAAAAATTTTTACATTTGAGAAAAATAAAGACAATATAACTAATGAAAATATTTCTCTTAATTAATTTATTGATAATGAATAATTTTTTTTTTACTGAATTAAGACATTGTAAGGACAATGTAGCAAATATTATCAATTAATAAATTTGAATATAAAGAATTTTTATATTCTAGAAAAATAAAGACAATATAACTAATACAATTATTTCTCTTATTTAATTTATTGATAATGAATAATTTTTTTTGAATAAAGGCATTGTGGACACATAATTCTAAATTAAAGAAATGCATATCTATAATTTTTTTGTTGTAGCTACTAAATTATTATTTATATAATTTAATAAGAGTAAAATAGAGTACTAATTATATCAACTTTGATTGGGATGAGGTTCGAACCTAATACCTTTTTTTTTTTTATTGAAATCAATGATTAAGTTAACGGTGAACTAACGGCAAATCTTAAAATTTTAATGGAATTAGTAACGGTGTGTGAGTATTTTAGGAAATTTTAGTGTAAAATTTAAATCTTATCAATCTTTTAATCAATCTGAGCCATTCATTTGATTAAAATCTGTGACCGCCATTTTTTCTACCCATTATAGGCCTAACTCTCTTGGGCTCTTATTAGTATAGTAGATAGTAGATAATAGTAGATAGTAGATAGATAGTAGATATATATAGGCAAAGATAAAGATTCGAAGCGTCCATGAGGTTACCATGATGAGCAAGGAACAATAATTGTCTATCTTTATTTTTATTTCAGAACGTATTTATATTACAGTGTTTTTTCTTCTTGATGGATTTAATTAACCCGGGGTGCGCCCGAATCACTAAATCCGGATAAGAATACGGATAATAAATAAATAATACGAACGATATAGCAAAGGCCGTGAGACCGTAGATTGTATTAAATGCCGTAGAATTGG